CAGCGAGAAACTCCCGAACCCGGAGGGCGTCCTTCAGCTGGCCCCTAAACAAATATGTATACTAGTTCAGTGATAATGGACGTCATACTAAATTCCAAATTATACACAAGAAACTAAAATTAAAAATTCGTAAGGGTCCCATGGAACCCAGTGTCTCGCCTATTTTTGCTGTTAATCGAAGGCTCAACAAAAATGAGGGAAAAAAAATAAAAATATTCCTCTCGATACTATCTTTTGATTGTAAGAAGCTTCTGTCCAAGTTTAGTAAAAATCCAGGATAGTTTATGAATCTAATAAATGTTTTAAAAACTTTAACTGCAGACTGTATGTAATGCTAACTGGAAGAAAAACTAAGTCCATTTATAAGTAAAATACGGAAAAACAGGAACAAAATTTCCTTCTAGATACTAGCTTTTGATCATTAACAAGCTTCTGTCCAAGTTTGGTACAAATCCAGGATAGTTTAAGAAAGTTATTAAAACAGAGTGAATGTAATGTTTCCTGGCAGAAAAACTAAGTCCATTTATAAGTAAAATACGGAAAAAATGGAATTTTTTTTTACAAAATTTACTTCTGGATACTATCTTATGATCACAAACAAGCTTCTGTCCTAGTTTGGTAGAAATCCAGGATAGTTTAAGAAAGTTATCAAAATTTTAAAAACTTTAACCACAGAGTGAATGTAATGTTTCCTGGCAGAAAAACTAAGTTCATTTATAAGTAAAATACGGAAACAATGGAATTTTTTTTTTATAAAATTTACTTCTGGATACTATCTTATGATCATAAACAAGCTTCTGTCCTAGTTTGGTAGAAATCCAGGATAGTTTAAGAAAGTTATCAAAATTTTAAAAACTTTAACCACAGAGTGAATGTAATGTTTCCTGGCAGAAAAACTAAGTCCATTTAGAGGTAAATTACGGAAAAAATGGAATTTATTTTTTACAAAATTTACTTCTGGATACTATCTTATGATCATTAACAAGCTTCTGTCCTAGTTTGGTAGAAATCAAGGATAGTTTAAGAAAGTTATCAGAATTTCAAAAACTTTAACCACAGAGTGAATATTTGTGGACGCCGCCGCCGACGCCGACGCCGACGGAATGTAGGATCGCTATGTCTCGCTTTTTCGACAAAAGTCGAAGGCTCGACAAAAATGATACAAGACTAACAAAGGCCAGAGGCTGCTGACTTGGGACAGGCGCAAAAATGCGGCGGGGTTAAACATGTTTTTTGAGATCTCAACCCTCCCCCTATACCTATAGCCAATGTAGATCAATGTAGAAAAAACAAACGTACAACAGTACGCACAGTAAAACTCAGTTTAAGAGAAGTCCGAGTCCAATGTCAGAAAAAGAAAAAACAGAAAATAAACAAAATGACAATAATACATAAATAACAACAGACTACTAGCAGTTACTGACATGCCAGCTCCAGACCTCAATTAAACTGATTGAAAGATTATGTCTTCATCATATGAATATCAGGCATGTATTATCAAAAAACGGATGATTTTGTGCATTTTTCAAACGAAAAAGCTTGAGGAAACCCTTGCCGCAAATTAGGATCCAAAATGTTCTGTGGCTAAAAGTTGCCAATGATGAAATTGAATCCCTAGACACAAAAAATTTCTGGATCATGGATGGAGGCCAAAGTAAATTATGTTGGTAAACTGTTGACTTAGAGATATGTCTTGTTTTTTTATTTTTTTTTATAGTATTATGCAAATGTTGAAATCAAAATGGCAATATTTAAACATGTTAACTTTGCAAAATATTCAAGTCAATGAACCTTGACTGCTAAGGAGCAGGGCAAATTAAGCTCCATGGAAATAATATGTGACAATGCTCAAACAACTGCATACCAAATATCATCGACCTACCACTAGCTGTTCCCCATAAACTGACCTAATCGCAAACTAATACATGTTTACTAAGCAAAAATTTCAAAGTCAATAGACCATGACTGAGGGGGCGGGTCAAATAATCTCCATGGAAATAATATGTGACAATGCTTATACAACTGCATACCAAATATCATTGACCTAAACTGGACCTAATCACAAACTAGTATATTGTTGACACCACAACTTATACCACAGCCAGGAACAGTACACCCAAGTCTGTTTTTTTATACTTTGTCAAGGTGAGAAAAAAGCTTTCAAGAATTATTGAAAATTTGACCAAGACTAATAATGCATATTTGAGGGGTCATTCCTTTCTTTTTTAATGTGATGTGTCAAAAAGAAGTTATTTTGTATTAATAGTTATATCCTAACTATTTCTATGTGAAATTTGTAGTATTTTGGCCTGATTAAAAAAAAACATAAAAATTCTGGCCTTATAGTAGTTTCACCAGAGATTTTTTTAAAAAGTTTACAACAAGGATAGCCACGTGACAATAAAAGCTAATTTTCAGCAGAAAATGCACTTCACAATCTATACCTCCAAATTAGCACATGTGAAACCACATAATTATACAAACTGACCACTAAAAACACAGCAAAAAATCTCATTTGTGTACAGAGCGCAGTGTAGCATGAAGGAACATTAACAGACCAAAAAAGAGTTTAAAATAATATTTTAAACCAAATGTACTCATTGTGTGCTTTGAAAAAATTGTACAATGGTTCACAATTTTGTAAAACTTGTCTGATCCTATTTATATTCTGGACCTGAAATAAAATAATCATACACTTAACGTAACCAAGTGATTGAAATAAAATCCTGTGAAACACCCTTCAGAAACCTCTTTCCTGTGACCTGCATTTGCCATCCAGATTTGGCAAACTAGATCTAAGATATCTAGTGATCAGATACACCTAGCTGCTTGCAGAAAACCATCAAAATGAACCTTGAACTGTATTTGATGATCCATGATATTGTGTACAATTTCAAAGCATCAATTTGGCCAAATTATCCAGAAATTAAAGAAATACCATTTTTTAAGGTAATCTAAGGGCATTACTATTGAATGGGAAATGTGAAAAACATCAAAATCTAACTTGACCTGACTTCATGGTCTATATGGCATTGTTTTTTTTTTCAAGTGTTTGTTCTCAAGCAGTATAGTCAGTACCAGAAAACCAAATTTTTAAGGTATCTTGGGGCACATTTCTCTTGAATGGTAAATTCCAAAACCATATTAAAAGCAAACTAGACCTGTGTTCATTTCAACAGATTTGGTAAAGCAGTATTGTCATGGAAACCCAGATTTTAGCGGTAAATAAGGCATTTCTTGTTCAATGTAAATGTCAAAACCATCAAAATCAAACTTTTCCTGCATTTTATGGTCCATGACATTGCCTTGATATATTTTAATATATATATACATGTATATATATATAAAGTGCCTAGAAAATCAACCTAACAATGTTAGAGTAGATCTGATTCTTAACATCCTCCCCGACTGGGTCTGGAACCTGTACTTTTCAGTTCATACTTCTACGACAAAACCGCCTAGCATTACGCAGACGCCTTATCTCCTCATCTAACTATAGCTGATTATATACTATATATAGTATCATAACTTCTTTCCCTCAAATAAATAGGCTCAACAAAACAAATGTTTGAATTGTTTTACAATTGTCATTTCGGGGGCTTTTATAGCTGACTATGCGGTATGGGTTTTGCTCATTGTTGAAGGCCGTACAGTGACCTATAGTTGTTAATTTCTATGTCATTTGGTCTCTTGTGGAGTGTTGTCTAATTGGCAATCACACCAGATCTTATTTTTATATATTCATACTGCCAATAACCCAGACAGCTTGAACTGGACATAGGTTAAATGTATTTAGTGGAAAGAATCCTAACTACTTAAAGAAAAACACAACACAAACTTATGTTTTTTGACTAGCTCGAGTACTGCATATTGTGAGCTGCCGATTTAATAAGACAAATTACACACTATACATTATACAATATGAATTCAATAACTTCTACTAGAAAAATAATCTCATGTCAACCTTTTGCATTTGAAAAACTGAATAATCTCATGTCAACCTTTTGCATTTGAAAAACTGAATAACTACATTTCAATGTTCCGTGGCCAACCAGGAAAAACCCATTTTAGGAAACCTGTGTCCTTTTGTCAATGCCAGCGAAACTCTAAGTGTAGGACCTCACTCCAGGAAATGAGTAAAAGAAAACATAATTTTGTTTGAATATATGTAAGTAAAAAGAAATTTTGTTTGAATATATGTAAGTAAAAAGAAATCTTGTCATTAGGACTACGGCTATAAAAAATTTGGTACAAAAGTCGAAATACGATTACGTTTGTATAGCCATTCCACCTACATGAAAATTAATTTAAAAAATACAAAATTATGCAAATCTTTGTTCTCTTAAAGATCCTTAAAAAAAATACAATGTTCACAGTACAAATTTCAGTTCACTTTACAACCTAATTTTTGGTGCTAAAATTCCTACGCCTACATGTATTACATGTGTGCAAGAAGACAATCAATTCCTGTTATACTTATATGCCTTGGGAATTTTTTATTATTAAAAACAACATACATGAATATAACTCATAAGCATAAAAATATGATAGATAACCTAAATAAAATCATTATAACTGCAGGCGACTTAGCCTTAAAAAAGAAGAAAACTATGAAAAAATATTAAAAGAAAGTTAATAACAGATAGCAAAAGTTATGGTATGATTACAGTCTTAAGAAAATAAAACAAGAACTAGATCATAAATGCAATCGATTGCAAAAGTATAGCAATGACCAATACATTAGAGGGTCATATTTTAAATGCCCAAAACATTACAGAAAAACGAGAAAAGATAAATGTAAGTTAAAGAGTTATTTCGTTAATAAGCTAGATAATCTTAAAAATGAAAATCCTAAAGCCTATTGGAAATTAGTTGAAAAATTAAAAGGAGATTACAATGATAAAAAGGAAACAAATATCAGTTTGGAAGATTGGAAGAATCATTTTAAATCCCTAAATAAAAATACAATTGCTGAAAATTAATCAATTCTACAGGAGCTTAATAATTTAGAAAAAACTAATATTTTTAAAGAATTAAGACTTTCAAGATTACAGAGTCTGAACTTAACTAAAAGCTATTAAATCTTTAAAGAATGGCAAATCCTTTGGATTAAATATGATACTAAATGAAATAATTAAGTACTGCCAATCAATTTTTAACCCACTATTTTTAAAAGCTTTTAATAGATTTTTTTCTGCAGGAATCTATCCTAAAATATGGCCAAAGAGAATATTTCAACTATACATAAAAAGGGGTCAATATATGATCCTTCAAACTATAGAGGTATAACAATAAGTGACACTATTGGTCAACTTTTTAACAGAATATTAAATAATAGACTGACAGCCTTTTTTGAGAAGAAAAAACTCATTTGTAAAGAGCAACTAAATTGGATTTAAAAGAGGATGTCGTACATCTGATCATATGTTTGTAATAAATACTCTTATACAAAAATACATTAGAAATAAATCCCAACCATTATATGCATGTTTTGTAGACATTAAACGTGCATTTGACTCTGTATGGCACCTAGGACTTTTCTATAAGCTTAAAAAAACTGGTGTCGGTTCAAAATCTTATAATATACTTAACAAAACAAAATACATTATATTCAAATATATAAATTTAAAACTCTGACTACATGTTTCGGTTCCTAGTGCACCTTCATCAGGATAAAAACCATAGGCTAGTAAAAAAATGGTGAAGTGATAATTTGCATGTCGCAATGTCAACAAGGTGAGTAATTATAAATAGAAAATAAAAAATGATATGAAAGTAAACTTTAAAAAGAATGTTGAATAAAATTTGTGTATTAATAATGTGTTAAATCAACTTTCCAGAGGTTACTGCTTCCAAGTTGGCTTCACCCAGAGTTACATGCTTCTAATTGGCTTTTGTCTGCCAGAGGTACTACTTCCAATCAGGTTCACCCGACAGAGATGCTCCCAAATGGCTTCGCAACGACAGACGGTACGTGCTTCCAATTAGCTTCACAAATTGTGAAATGCAAATTATCACTTGCGGATTTTGTACTCTTCTGTAGTTTTAGTTCTGATTTAGAATTTATCAAATACATTCTTTAACTGGTTTTAACAAGAGTTATATGAACCATTCCTATTGGAAACCTTTCCCTCAAGTTAGAAAGACCCCAAAGGGTGAATGGGGAATAGAAATATGGTCACGCTTGGTCTTCTTCAGACTGGCAGTGGGGCTTCTGTTTGGAAGTGCAGGATGTATGAATTCGCAGCCATGTCCGGTCAGAATGGGGACGTTAAATCCAATGCCTTGTGTAGAGTGCCAAGCTGTATACATGTTAATAACCTTTGCCACAACTCTGAGGGATACAGAGAATTAATCAAACAATTATTTCCTTCAGCCACAGTAATAGTTATCTGAAAAAGAAATAGACACTTTTCAATTTTCTGTCATATTTTAAGAAACTGAAATAGGCAACAAATAGCAAACTGGGAATTACAATTAAAGGAGAGAAACTTTCCAAAATAATCATTTTTCTCTTCCAGAAAACATTAAATTGTAATAAGATTATAAAAATCATGGGAATTTACAAGATCTTAAATAAAAAAGTTTATAAATCTATATAATAGTTCTTTCTTACCTTTAAAATTCAACTCCAATGGCCATTTCCAACATCAATCTGTAAGGACAAGCTGTAATGCTAACCTGAAATATATAATGCTTAGTCATTCAAAATAGTTAGAAAAGAATCTTTGTTGCTATACTTATGTTCATTATATAGAAATAGGTGATAATAACATATCAAGGTAAAAGACGATGCAGAGAACACATCAATGTGACGAAACCCAACAACACAAACAAATATGACTTCTATGTACCCCCCGTAATCAATTCAAATCTTTTAAATATTTATATGAGGACTTTGTCCCCAATAACAGTGAGAAAATCAATAAAACAAAAAATAAATATAAAAATAAATATACAAATGTAATCAAAATAATTAACTTTTTCAGTTTCCCGCATTTGTGCAGAAATCTTTTCTCTTCTTGTTAACAACTCACAATGGCAAACAATCCTACCAAGTTTGAGAGCTTTCTGTCAAATGGTCTTAGGAGTTGCATTCATAAGGTGACACTGTTACAATACTCAAAATAAATAGTCAAAGTCCCATAGAAATGGCCAGGTCTAAATAATGGTATATGGCATTTTTTAGGCGACCATACAGTATGGGATTTTTCTTATTGTTGAAGGCCATACCGTTGCCTATTATTGCTTTCATCCACTTCATTTGAACTTTGGTGGACAGTTGTCTCATTGGCAATCATACCACATCTCCATATTTTTATTACTATACATGACGGAAACAATCCCATTACGTATGGGAGCTTTCTGTTTTGGTGTTCAGAAGGTGTTTTATGGTCATAATACTTAAAATTGCAATCAACATCCCATCACTTCTTTGATAATAGTCAAATCAAAATAGTGGTATATTATGGTCAACTACACATGATGGAAAACAATTTGACTAAGTATGAAGGCTTTCCGTCTAATCCCATATCCCGCTTATCATTGTAATAATAACCCTTGTAATTTCATGTCCCCTCCCAAACTGTTTCCCGCACAATACTTTCCCATGTCACGGTTATAAAAAATCGGCCAATCCCACTTCAGACTTGGACCCCCATGAGACCACATGCCAGGCTTCTGTCATAAAAACTCACAGGCGTAACAAAATTCAAGGGCATTTACATAATCTGTAATCAACAAGTTCATAAATCTATGCAATGGTTCTTTCTTACCTTAAAAGTCAGCTCCAATGATCATTCTAAACCTCAACCCATACTGAAAAGCAGTAATTATTGCTAGCCTGAAAAAGTAAAATGCTTAGTCAATAAAAATTCTTAAAAAATAAATAGAATCAGTGTTGGAATATTGCTTGCATATTATTGTGGATTTCTTTATTTTCTTGGGCACCAATTTATTTTATATTAAGGAACAATTGTATTTTTGTGGGTACTTCATTTCGTGGTTTTGCCAAAGTCTGCATACAAAAATTAAGTCTTTACAATGACATCCATGTAACCAATTCAAATATTTAGAACATTTAGTCAAGAAAAAAAACAACATTTTACCTCTTACAACTTTAAGCCTTGAGTACATTTTATTTCCTTTTAACTTATTTTATAATAATAAAAGGAGTAGGCTTGGTAAGACCCCTTTTTGGCCCCAAAATATAGCATTTTTACAAATTTGATAAAGTGTAAACTTTTAGCTATTTATTGCAAAGAAGAATACTTCTGTTCCATTAATATGGGCTGATTTTGACAATACAATGCACATGCATCGGGTAATAACATCAGAAATTCATGCAATATTACTGAAATCTTCACAATTTTAGCATTTGTGCTAATTTTACGGTGGTTTTTGTCTAAAATGGAAGTGGCCGCATTTGTGTACTGTCTTAATATTTAAATATATGTTGTATTTGATGATAATACATAACATATATAAAGGTTGAGACTGAACACGAATGCGGCCACTTTCATTTTAGACAAAAACCATCTGAAAAGTGACATTTAATGGATTATTTGATAGATTTTTCGTATTTAAGCCTCTATTTGTGGGTCTTTAATGACCAAATCAGTCCAAATCTTTTATATACACTAATTGAATCGACTGAAGTAGACACTTGCGTGTTTAAAAAATGTCAAAAATCTTTCATTAGATGTACTTCGAATATTAGGCCAAAACAAGCCCTTACCAGACCTTCTCCTTTGTTTAAATAGAGGAATTATATACCTACTTGTATATTAGAAATATTATACCACCAAGTCTTACTCCCCATTCATGAAAACATTGGCACTAATATAACCTAAAAAGGAATTAGAATTGACACAAATTATATATTTTACAAATCTGTTAAATTGCCAACCTAAATTTTTTTTTAAATTCTGTATTCTAATTGCATAATAGTGAGTTATCTCCCACTGAAAGAAACGTGCTTGCTGTTTATTGTACTAGTCTCCCCTTGAAGGATAAAATTCTACCTCAGGATTTACTTTTCACGTTATAAAATTTTATTTGTGTACCTGGAAAACATTTATCAAACTGATAAATTATCTATTTCTGTGTGTTGTAAATGTGCAAAATAAGAAAAATGTGTGTTGCCTTATGTACTTTATCACATTTTTCTAGATAATGTGCAGAAATTGGTTGGCTTAAATATACTTGCCTTATTTCTTTCATGTCATGGCCTCAGACTTGGGTGAAGATTAATGTAATAATTAATCTTCCTTGGAGCTGTAATATAGAAAGAAAAAACTGGCATTAATGGCAGCGAACATCATTGGTCAATTGCCCTTTTAGACTATATATCATTTATTATTTTCATTTTAAATAGTAATGAAGACAGTTAAATGATATAATAATTATTTCCAAAATTAATGTGTGCTTCGAATTATCAGAAAATGGTGGCTAAGTTAACCAAAACAATCTGATGTGTACATTTTGAACAGAAATGATTAAAAATTAACTGAATTTCAAACAACCTAAATCAGGTCATATTTTCCCAATTACTTAAAAAAAAAATGCAGATAAATATGTATATATCCAAATTGTCAATGTTAAGCGACTATTTGTTGTAATAATTATTTCAGAAATTAATCTGATGCATGTTTTATGTCAAATCCTAAATTGGGGTATAAGTATATTTAATATTACAATACATTCTTATTAAAATATATTTGATAAGAGTATAAATTTGACAAGGAAATTTTGGACCATTTTGTAATGAAATTTCAAGCAGTTTTTCCAGGAGAAAACTGATTTTAAATACCTAACAAAAATATTATCATAGTTTAAAGTACAATTGTAATAACCAAATACTAACATGTTACTCATCTCCTATTTCAATGAAATAATCTTCATCTTCTGCGACTGAAACTTGGTAAGGCCTGCTACTTTAAGCATCTTGTCCTGGTCTTCGCCAATGGCTCCATTTTCAGGGTCTATGCTGTAAACATCTTCTTCATAGTATCTGAAACAAAAACAAAATTATTTTAGACAGCTGCTGGTAAACTCAAATAAAAATCTTTATTTTAATCAGTAACGATGACAGTTTGATGATATAATCATTATTTTCGAAATTAATGTGTGCGTCAAATTATCATTAAGTTGGTGGCTATTCAAAACAATCTGATGTTTACACTTGAATATAAATGATTTAAATTCAACTGAATTTCAAACAATCTAAATCAGGTCATATTTTCCCAATTACTTATAGAAAAATGCAGATGAATATGTAAATTTCCAGGGAAAAACTGATTTTAATGACCTAACAAATATGAACATAGTTTTAAGTACAATTGTATAACCAAATACTTACATGCTACTCATTTCCAATCTTCAATGAAACAATCTTCATGTTCTGTGACTGACTGGAACTTGGTAAGGCCTGCTACTGTAATAGAACTAAAATTATAATTAGACTAAAATTAAATATACTTTCCTTTAATTTTCTTGTCCTGGTCTTCATCAATGGCTCAATTTTCTGGGTCTTTGCTGTAAACATCTTCTTCATAGTATCTGAAACAAAAACAAAATTATTTATAGACAGATGCTGATAAACTCAAATAAAATTTACATATATTCAACAGTGAGCCAAAAAAAAAGACAGTTAAAAAATATCAAACCAAATATAAAACTTTTAATAAAGTTTGCTTATTTAAAAAATAAAACTTTTTTCAAAATATTTAGAAAGAAAAAACTGGCATTAATGGCAGCCAACATCATTGGTCAATTGCTCTTTTGTCTATATATCATTAACAATATCATTTTAAATCTTTATTTTAATCAGAAATGAAGACGGTTTAATGATATAATCATTATTTTCGAAATTAATGTGTGCGTCAAATTATCACAAATTGGTGGCTATTCAAAACAATCTGATGTATACACTTGAACAGAAATGATTAAAATTCAACTGAATTTCAAACAATCTAAATCAGGTCATATTTTCCCAATTACTTATAGAAAAATGCAGATGAATATGTAAATTTCCAGGGAAAAACTGATTTTAATGACCTAACAAATATGAACATAGTTTTAAGTACAATTATATAGCTTGCATATTATTGTGGATTTCTTTATTTTCTTGGGCACCAATTTATTTTATATTAAGGAACAATTGTATTTTTGTGGGTACTTCATTTCGTGGTTTTGCCAAAGTCTGCATACAAAAATTAAGTCTTTACAATGACATCCATGTTACCAATTCAAATCTTTAGAACATTTAGTCAAGAAAAAAACAACATTTTACCTCTCACAAGTTTAAGCCTTGAGCACATTTTATTTCCTTTAAACTTATTTTATAATAATAAAAGGAGTAGGCCTTGTAAGACCCCTTTTTGGCCCCAAAATATAGCATTTTTACAAATTTGTTAAAGTGTAAACTTTTAGCTATTTATTGCAAAGAAGAATACTTCTGTTCCATTAATATGGGCTGATTTTGACAATACAATGCACATGCATCGGGTAATAATAACATCAGAAATTCATGCAATATTACTGAAATCTTCACAATTTTAGCATTTGTGCTATTTTTACGGTAGTTTTTGTCTAAAACGGAAGTGGCCGCATTTGTGTTCCGTCTTAATATTTAAATATATGTTGTATTTGATGATAATACATAACATATATAAAGGTTGAGACTGAACACGAATGCGGCCACTTTCATTTTAGACAAAAAACATCTGAAAAGTGACATTTTATGGATTATTTGATAGATTTTTCGTATTTAAGCCTCTATTTGAGGGTCTTTAATGACCAAATCAGTCCAAATCTTTTACATACACTAATTGAATCGACTGAAGTAGACACTTGCGTGTTTAAAAAATGTCAAAAATCTTTCATTAGATGTACTTCAAATATTAGGCCAAAACGAGCCCTTACCAGACCTTCTCCTTTGTTTAAATAGAGGAATTATATACCTACTTGTATATTAGAAATATTATACCACCAAGTCTTACTCCCCATTCATGAAAACATTGGCACTAATATATCCTAAAAAGGAATTAGAATTGACACAAATTATATATTTTACAAATCTGTTAAATTGCCAACCTAAATTTTTTTTTAAATTCTGTATTCTAATTGCATAATAGTGAGTTATCTCCCACTGAAAGAAACGTGCTTGCTGTTTATTGTACTAGTCTCCCCTTGAAGGATAAAATTCTATCTCAGGATTTACTTTTCACGTTATAAAATTTTATTTGTGTACCTGGAAAACATTTATCAAACTGATAAATTATCTATTTCTGTGTGTTGTAAATGTGCAAAATAAGAAAAATGTGTGTTGCCTTATGTACTTTATCACATTTTTCTAGATAATGTGCAGAAATTGGTTGGCTTAAATATACTTGCGTTATTTCTTTCATGTCATGGCCTCAGACTTGGGTGAAGATTAATGTAATAATTAATCTTCCTTGGAGCTGTAATATAGAAAGAAAAAACTGGCTGGCATTAATGGCAGTGAACATCATTGGTCAATTGCCCTTTTAGACTATATATCATTTATTATTTTCATTTTAAATAGTAATGAAGACAGTTAAATGATATAATAATTATTTCCAAAATTAATGTGTGCTTCGAATTATCAGAAAATGGTGGCTAAGTTAACCAAAACAATCTGATGTGTACATTTTGAACAGAAATGATTAAAAATTAACTGAATTTCAAACAACCTAAATCAGGTCATATTTTCCCAATTACTTAAAAAAAAATGCAGATAAATATGTATATATCCAAATTGTCAATGTTAAGCGACTATTTGTTGTAATAATTATTTCAGAAATTAATCTGATGCATGTTTTATGTCAAATCCTAAATTGGGATATAAGTATATTTAATATTACAATACATTCTTATTAAAATATATTTGATAAGAGTATAAATTTGACAAGGAAATTTTGGACCATTTTGTAATGAAATTTCAAGCAGTTTTTCCAGGAGAAAACTGATTTTAAATACCTAACAAATATTATCATAGTTTAAAGTACAATTGTAATAACCAAATACTAACATGTTACTCATCTCCTATTTCAATGAAATAATCTTCATCTTCTGCGACTGAAACTTGGTAAGGCCTGCTACTTTAAGCATCTTGTCCTGGTCTTCGCCAATGGTTCCATTTTCAGGGTCTATGCTGTAAACATCTTCTTCATAGTATCTGAAACAAAAACAAAATTATTTTAGACAGCTGCTGGTAAACTCAAATAAAAATCTTTATTTTAATCAGTAACGATGACAGTTTGATGATATAATCATTATTTTCGAAATTAATGTGTGCATCAAATTATCATTAAGTTGGTGGCTATTCAAAACAATCTGATGTATACACTTGAATAGAAATGATTTAAATTCAACTGAATTTCAAACAATCTAAATCAGGTCATATTTTCCCAATTACTTATAGAAAAATGCAGATGAATATGTAAATTTCCAGGGAAAAACTGATTTTAATGACCTAACAAATATGAACATAGTTTTAAGTACAATTGTATAACCAAATACTTACATGCTACTCATTTCCAATCTTCAATGAAACAATCTTCATGTTCTGTGACTGACTGGAACTTGGTAAGGCCTGCTACTGTAATAGAACTAAAATTATAATTAGACTAAAATTAAATATACTTTCCTTTAATTTTCTTGTCCTGGTCTTCATCAATGGCTCAATTTTCTGGGTCTTTGCTGTAAACATCTTCTTCATAGTATCTGAAACAAAAACAAAATTATTTATAGACAGATGCTGATAAACTCAAATAAAATTTACATATATTCAACAGTGAGCCAAAAAAAAAGACAGTTAAA